GGTGTGAAGTACAGGGCCAGTTCACTCTGGCTAGAGATCATGCCTACTTGGAGGTGAAAAGAGTGCGAGTTCCTATATAATCAGGTTGCTTGCGCCAGTTAGTCGCATCGTCCCGGTTCTGCCTGGCAGTTTCTGCCGACCAATGTCGCGTTGCATCCTTGCCGTCTCCTCAAAGTGTGGTTGTACGTCTCAACTGGTATGTGTTTGGGCTGCGTTCGCACTTCAAGCACTTCTCCGGGACTCTGTCTGCATTGTGACCAGGTCGTGTGCTATCGCAACAAAACCTTTGAATTGCTTGGGTCTGTTTTAGTTGACAGAAATGTGTGATCATTCTTTCCCGAAAGCACCGTGAAGGGTTCTTTCCAAAAGAGCGGGTGCATTACATTGCGTTGCGCATACATTGCATCGTAACTCTATATATATATATATGACAGTGCATCGACAAAGTGTTGCAACATTTGTATACCGTTGTAATTGCCTCGCGCTACATTTGCATAGTGCGGATCTTTATTCACCGACAGGGGTGGCGTGTGTCCGATGCAAGAAGCTGTGGTGAATCGGTGAAGTGTGAACGTGTGATCCTTTTACACGCACGTACCGGCTGCTGTACGTCCTTGTTCCTAGTAGTAAGGCCAGGAGCCTCTAGTAGCGTCCTTGCTCCTAGTAGCGATGCCAGGAGCCCCTAGTAGCGTCCTTGCTTCTCAGTGGGGAACAGGGAAGGGAAAGTACATTGGTAAAGTACGTCGAATCATCGCCCTCACATTGGGGAAGCTTAGCGTGAGGATCTGTGCACCGAATGTGTTCCAGCTTTGGAGAGTTGCCGGGTCACGTTTCACGACACCCTTTTTTAGGAGGCTTGACTTGCCGTGTCATTTTTGCTCCACTTACAGTAGTTTGTGCTAAACAAGAAGGTCTTTACCCTTGTCGCATTTTGACCTTAGGGAACAGTTTTGGCTTGTGCCCTTCTCGGTCGCCGACCTTTGTCAAAGTGAAAGCGTGATGGGATCGTTCGATTCCGTGTTTGCCACAACAACAAAGCTGATGAACATGCTAAACGTGCTAACAATGTTTTCTCGGACATGTTTCTCGCTGTAGCGTTAGGCTGTTCGGGAGTTAAAACGACTCATGAAGGTTCAGAAGTAGTTGATTGCTTATCACTTTCCTTAAAGGTCAGAGCTTTTCGGTCAGATGATCTCCTCGGGGTCGGAACTGTCAAGTTTGCACATGGGTGTATCATGCCTGTCTTGGAAGGTTTCCCAGTAGTGTTGCAGAAAACACTGTGGGACTGGCTTACACAGTTGGAGTGGTTCGCTGTTGTTGCATGCACTTAATTGTGTGAGTGTTGATAGTTTGAGTTGACCTTTTTTTTTTTCAGGCGGATACACAATGTTGATTTAGTTTGAAAGACAATGTCCGGTCGCTGTCGGCTTCATGCTAAAAGCTATTTTCCTACACTCGTGCTGCATCAAAGAACAGGTGAGATGTGTGTCCACGATTTTCCACGATTTTTCGCTGTTGGGAGTCCAACTTGAGGGTGCCCTTGGTTCCGTTGGGCGCCTTCCAGCATGCGTGCATGCGGCAGTCAAGTGTGTCCGCCAGCTGTTCAAGGCCGCCCACATATTGGGTTTGCCGTAACTAAAGATCTTCTGAATTAACTTTGTTTTGCGACTGCCTGCCAAGTACGCTTTCATGTCTTGCTTCTTACAGCGCGCTTTCGTGCCACGTTCGAGGGCTTGTACATTAGTGGTCAGGATCTCATCAGTCAGGTCTCGATCGTCGCTCGCCAGGTGAGTGCAAAGAGTGAATAAAGGTGCATTTTTGAGTTTTGACTCTATCGTGCTGTTGTATCATACCATGTCGTTATATATCAGTACGTTGACCTTGCACAGCAGTAATTGTATACATTGCGTTCTCGTACCGTTTTTATGTTTTGGGCGCAGTGCGAAGACAATGAAATGTTAGGTCGCATGCCGGGTAACAGTCAAACAACCAGCCACTGCTGCAGTGGAAACGCTTTGATTGGGCTTCGGATCTGGGGTCAGGCAGCATCTCAACCAGAGATTGAGCAGAAAAAATGCAGACCCAGCAGTACGAAGAACGGCTACTACAGCAGCTTAGCAGAGGATTGGTCAGTTCAACTCCTTGTTTCTCCGAATCGTCATCACTCAGCCGTTATGTTATCTATGAATCGAAGACTTCAAAACTTGTGGGTGTCCAGCAATCATGGGATTGAATCCAAACGCCTGTTGATCATGAATGCATCCTAACCAGTGAAACAGTTGTTGCATTCATTTGGGTTGGGGTTAGAGTCCCTGCAAAGAATTTTTCCAGCGACTCCTGCACTGTATAGAGCTATAGAGTAGAGATTGGTTGATTCAGGTGCTCGACGAGCTCTCCCGTTACTTTGGAGAGGAGCCGTTTGTTGGGGCAGACACCAACTCTTGGTATGTCGACTTCGTTTGATGGCTTAAGCGGTAGACACGACAAATTCCGACACCACGCAGAAAGATACCCACAACTGATACAAATCCTGCAAACATCAGAGAAAAGTACCACCGTCAAACAACGTTCACAAACACACACACACACAGGATCACGAGCTTACCACAGACAGACTTGCACTTGCGTGAAGAAACCAGAACAGTTATTGTGGTCTTAGTTGATCTTAGTTGTACCAATATAATATTGTTTGTTTTCTTCCATTGCTTCAGCTTGCTGAGAAGAGACGGCAGAGAGCCTTTGACAACGGATTGGAAAGGTCCTCGCAGCTGGGGCACCTCGTTTCCATTCTGAGACCTAGGTCATAAGAAGATGACATCACAGCCGTTCTTTCTTTTGAATCGGAATGGTGGGCAAAAAACGGCCAACAAATTAATCTCTCCTCAAGCTGATCCTAACTCATTTGATATTTTTGTGTTTTTACTGCACAACTTTAGTCCTGTTGGCTTTTGCTCTTCCAAATTTTGGATTTTGTTCCTATCAATCCGACAATTTAGAGGTTTGTACATAATCTTTCATTTTTTGGTCTCAGCGTATTTCCAAATCGATACCTATTGCACCCCACTCTCCCAGGACCACTCGCGAGGGGCGCGTATGGCCTGTAGCCTCAGTTTTTGGACCCGGTCCGTTTTCTAGCTAAGCAGTTGTTGATCCAGCAAATGGAAGGACTCTGGGCAGCTGCTTACTTCAGTGAAGCATCACTGGGGCGGTGCAATCAAGATGTTAGCCTCATGAGAAGTCTTCCTCATTCAGACATTCATTACCTTAGCAAAAGCTTGGCATTTGTGCGCCATTTCGATAAGGTGCTGGCAAGTCATCTTGCGAGATTTGTTTCTGATTTCGTGGAGAAAGAGAATGCTGCAGAGGTGTGGTATCAGCTGTTAGATGGTAATGTCTTCTACCTGCAAGTTTGATAGAGACGATCGAGCCATGGGTCAATGGGTACCCTTGATGAACGACTATATATATATATAAATGTTTCCAAACTTGAGGCAAGTTTTCTTGCGTTTCTGCGCACCTATCACCTGGAATGGATTGCACTAACATGCACAAAGGTTTTTGATCACTGGACTCAGCATACTTTGATTGGCTTGTACAGGCATTTCTATTCAAGACACGACAGATATCAACCACTCAGCTGGGCAGTGAACATGAAGTCTTTGGATTGAGAACTTCAAGATTTAACTGTGACTTGCAGTTGGACATGGAGTTGCTTGACGTTGGTGGCATTCGCTGCCATTTTCGCCGTTCTCACTTAGGCATCCGGATGACCGCACTGCTCGCGAGAAAAGACATCTCGCATTTGCACTGCTTGCTTTTGCTGTGGCCACACCTGGTTTTCCCGTTTTTGCTTGTTGGATTAGATCAGGTTGTTGAGGGTCTGGCCAACCCACAGACCCACATTGGTAGCGGAGCTAGAGGGCGGTTAGTTGCTAACTAGGCTGCCTGCTGCACCCAGCCCGATTAGCTGACGCCATGTCGGGCACTTCTGATGTCAGCGCTGCTGCTGGGGCCACCAAAGAGACAGTTCAAAGGGCCCTCAGCTATGAGTGTCCCACTTGCCAAGAGACCCAGCCACCTGGAAGGTATTTGAAGGCTGCTCCTGGTGTGAGGACAACAATTTTTGGCAAAGAACTTCACTGCGACTTGAAATACCTCCACGACCACAAGAACACCTTGTTTGTGGCCCTTTCGATGGTTGACGGAGCAACCTCCTATCATCAGGCAGTACTCCTAAGGAATCGCTCTGCTGAACACGTGGCCAGAAAATGCCTGAGACACTGGATCTCTCTCCATGGAGCACCTCAAGTCCTGGTTTTGGACCAAGGAGGAGAATTCGATGGCCAGTTCGTTGCCTTTATGGAGCAGCACGGCATTCATAGCAAAACATCGGGAGCCAAGTCAGCCTGGCAGCATGGTTTTTCTGAAAGGCACGGCGCTCTTTTGGGGACTATGTTCACCTCCCTGGCATGGCAGTATAAGATTGAAGGTCGGGCACAAGTCAACAACATTCTCAGCGCCGCCGTTCAGGCCAAGAATTCGAGCATCATGAAGGGAGGGTACACCCCATATCAGTTGGCTTTCGGAAGACATCCAGTGTTCCCAGATCTTGTGGATGAAGACACTGAAGGAAATCTATCACTCCGTGAGGCCCTGTCTATGGAAGGCGAAGTCCAACGAGCCTCAGAGATGAGAGCAGCAGCCAGGGCTACCTTGTTAAGACATGATGTCCAGGCCAAACTACGAAGAGCTCTCCGTCGATGGCCAAAAGGTGGAGAAAGGGACTTCGAACCAGGAGAACTGGTCCACTTCTATGCCCCGAAGCCTTTGAGCACAAGATTCAAGAAGGAACCAGGCTTCTGGAGGGGACCAGGCATGATCCTAGTGAAGGAGGAAGGTGACCATCACCACCGTTTGGAGGAGGTTGAGGAGTTCAAGAACACCTGGAGAGGTGATGACAAGCAATATGAAGACATCTCAGGTTTGCCAGCGCCCGATGAAGTGAAAGATGAAGAGGCAGAAGCAAGAGGCTGGGAGGCGCATGATGGCATCATAGTTCCCAGCACCGGGAGGAGGCCAAAGACGAGAGCCAAGGAGATAGCCCGAACCCTGAGAGGTATGAAGACCATCAAGACCATCCAGAAGATGAAAGGCCAAAAGAAAGATCGGCTTGATCTGAGTGGACATCAGAAAGAAAAGAAGATGGAAGAGAAGCAAGAAGTTGTTCCCATGGCTCTGGAAGTCCTACCAGAGACGGACCATGAGACTCAAATGAAGAAGGTGAGAGAAGAGCTAATGAAGGTGATTGGCACGCCACAGCAAGAAGGATACCAAGAAAGGTTGAAACAACACCTCTTAGACGACGTGCCAAGACAGTTCAAGAAGAGGGCTGCGGAAGAAGAAGTGGGACAGATGACAGAGGAGCAGCTGACCAAACGTTTCCGCCCAGCTTTCTTCTCCTACACCATGGCTGCCACAGTTGAAGGCGAAAGAAGAAAAAGGGCCAATGAATGGGCCTCAAAGGCTGAAGTAAAGAAGTTGAGTACCTTGCTGACCTCCCGGTGAAGAAGGCTCGTTTCCACTTTGGGGCCAGAAAGAGATTCCAGCCATACAAAGCTGGAGGAAGAAAGTCAAGACTCACGGTCATGCTGGGAGAAAAGGATGGCACCGCCCTTGTCACACAGGAGACGGCAGAAGAGATGAAACAAAGACCAGGAAGAAAATCACCGTTCCTGTGGAAGGGCCTCACTCTTTTCCTGGACAACCAGGAAAGGACATCTCACACCCACAACGTCTATGTGGAGATGCCTGATATAGCCCCCGCCGAGTGAAATTATTTTGAGGTGACCGTCTCGTCCCCAAATATTTTTTTGAAATAATATCAATAGAGTATTATTTGGAAAGGCATGTAGGTGGCGGGTCAAAATAGTATCTACCTTGTAGAAAAAAATATGGTATGGCATGTTGCAAAATAAAAAAATATTATTTTGATATATAGTTTCCAAATAATTTTTAGCACTGAATGACATAGAATAACAATAACCCGTGGAAGAAGGTATTATGCAGGGTTTATTGGAAATTATTTGGCAGGTGGAGGGGTACGTGTGCCAGAGCAAAAATAATTTGGTGTGCTTGTCCACAGAGCTGAGACAATCAAGATATAAAATATAAACCACACAGCATGATAAGATAGGGGGGGGAGGTGGTATAGACCACCCACCTAAGTGGGCAGATATATGGGGACAGCTCCTAGGAAAGTGTTCAGTAACAGCAAACGTAGGTGGTGCAAGCGCAACCACCTACAAAAAATAATTGCGCCCTCTTTTCTGCCATTCTCTCTCGGTTTCTCTGTCAGACCCTGAACGTCTGACTCCCACATCAATCAGCTATGCTCTGCCACCAAGTCATCGTTTGTCGCGCTGCAATCAATTTGAACTAGCCAAGGCACACCCGATCCAAAACTCTGGTAGCCAAAGCAGCCGGCTTCACACTCTCATCAAATTCTCGCTGGGATCCATCCTATCAGGGGGCTACCTTTATCTGGGATCCATCCATTCGAACACAAACATAATATTATTTGGCAGGTGGGCTACCTGTCATCTACCCCCAAAATAAATAGTTACTCGTACTTGAATATGATTATTAATGATGTCTGTGGGGTAAGCCTTGCCCCCCTTACTGGTTCCTTCTACTAAACTCCTCAATGTTCTCAACATGTTCCATATTTTCCATGGAATAAGTGGCAAATACTGGCAACATTCCCCCC